CAAAAAAAAAAAAAAGGAACTATGTTCATACAAAACTGCAAACACCAGAATATTGATGCGTTATCATAACTTGAGTGAATACTACTACAACATATCATACCGCTGAGGTGAACAAAAGACTTATTTTCTTGTTGAAGGCAAGAAATATCTCTTTTCAACTGGAATACCCTAGTGTAGTTATTCTGGTTTCCATACATATCCTTCACGGATTCCCACAAATCTTGTGAGGATTCATAGTAACTGAATATCTCAACAACATGTTTCTCCACGGTGTTGACCAACAAGGACATGACAAGTTGATCCTTGCACAGCCATGCTTCATAGGCCTGAAGGATCTGGAGTTTCAACACTTCCATTGATGAACCCTAACTTTCCCTATCCTCCTAAAGCAAGTAAAACTGCCCTAGACCAAGGAAGGTAGTTGAACTCATTCAACATCACCGAGCATAGACGTTGGTTGGTATTGACTTCAGTGTCTAAAAAATTCGAGGGAGCTACCTGAGAGCTTTCTCCCTCAAGATTGACTGAGCTTTCCTCAGCCATTACAGAAGCTTAAAAGAACAACAGCATAAACAATACGGGCAGAAACAGGTCAAGGATGACACCGCTCTAATACCATGTGGATTTTTTAGTTTCAAAGTATTTCTATTTCATGAATAATTCTGAATGTACAAGGCAGTACATATAGGCGACAGAAACAAATGGTTATAAGCAACCATCTTTACATGAAACCTTAGAGACCGGGCAAACCTAGGACACAAGCTTTTCCATAATTTAAGGTGATTTACATCAAATTCAAAACTAAGAAGTAATCAGCAAGTTAAAGGCCTTGAGTCAAGGAGCTGGAAAACTGGAAAGCTGGCGGTTGACTTGTGCATCCAAGATTACTTGGAGACTTGTGATATTAGATGACATGCTAGGGTTGCTAGGGTTAGTGACTGGTTCCAACAGTTTCTCACGAAGCAAAAATCTGACCTTTGAAACTCCTCAAAACTAATCTCCTTCGACTCGACAAAACCTATTCGACCATAATACCTCCGACAACCCAATGATGGAGATAAGTTTCGTGAAGGGGAATCGGATTCCTTTCCTCATCAATTACTTCACCATTGAAGCTCTTGATTGCAATATGACTCCTTAGGAAGTCGATATTGTAGTAATACTTGTCTGCAACTGATCCTGGTCCCAACACAAACTTATGGGAGACAAAAACACTAGTTCTTAGTTTTGACAATCCGAAGAGCATGCAAGCATGGTGTGCTTAATGCAAATACTACCATAGCCAACAAAAACACGCAACCTTGGAAACAACTTGCCAATTTTTCAGCCAAAATTAAGATAATCTCTGGTTAAACAATTAGAATACTCACACTCACAAATAATCTCAAGACTCAAAGCTCTGAATCATAACAGAGCGATGTTATTGGTATTCCAAAAACGTCATCATACACGCATCTCTTATAAAAACATAGGGGAAAAACTGCACTTCGAGGAGTTAAAGATAATGTCTTTGGAGTGCCAATATTTTGTAACAGCTCCTCAGTTCTTTTATATTGTTTTGCAATAATTATAGTACGGATAATCACAAGTGAAGCGATTTTCACGCTCTAAATTTTCATTCTTCCAGATGTTTCTATCATTATTCGCAAAAGGAAGGACTGCATGGGAGAAAAGGGGAAGTGCATAAGGTAAATGACTTTGCACTCTTTTTATTTCTCTCTTGATTTTTTTTTTTATTTGATCAATCAAATGCTAAAACTGAATAAAAGTGAGCGTGAAAATCAATTTTTTTTTTTTATCAAATTTGCACATTTCTAAACAAATTATGTACTTTCCATGCGAATTTTCATATGGGTTAATATAGAAATGAATAAATATAAGTAGAGGTGGGCACAGTCCGGTTCCACCCTCAAAATGGAAAATTTTCAACTGTTTGGTTTGGTGCAATTCCGCTTAAATTTATTACCAAAACCGTACAGTTCGGTTTATGCCGGTTTATGATTCTAACCAAAATTAAATATATGTTTTTTTTTCTAATTTTCTTCTTCTAGTACCAAACACGTATTTCAACCACAAATTCAAGTAAATTTGAGTGGTAAATCAATAGATAGAAAGGCTCATATCAAAACCAAAGTGTAGATCTTAAACTAAAACTAAAATGTACATAATGCATAATATACTAGAAAATAATAGAGAAAAATAATGTAAGGGGAGAAAAGTGATAAAACAACAAAGGAGGGGAGAGAAGTAAGAAAAATGTCTTATTTATATAAAAATAATAATAAAAAAATAATTTATATTAAAAACAGTTCGGTCCGGTTCCTTCGGTTCTTAATATTTCCAAACGGGAACTATTTGAAACGGTTCGGTTCGGTTTTTGTTCCAGTTTTAACTTGTTTGGTCAACGCGGTTTTTAAGGTTTTTTTTTATCACGGTTTCATTCGGTTTTCCGGTCTGATGGTTGTTATGCCTACCCCTAAATATAAATCAAACATAAAGAGGAAGCGAAGAGCGTATCAGAGTAAGGCAGACCTCTTCCACCAAAGCCACCAAATCAAGTGATCTAAAACTTTGAAATTTGATCCAACGGCTAAAATTATTATAACTTTTAAAGGGACTCATATTTTAGTCATTGGATCAAATTTTAAGGGTCCATATCACTTGATTTGATGGTTTTGGTGAAAGAGATCATCTCCCCTAGAGTAAAAAGAGGAGTTTGAGATGATAAGTTAGAGTCAAAGCTAAGCACAGAGGACTTTGGGAGGTAGTCTGCAACCAAAATGTAGAAGAGATCCATAACTCCTGTGTGTGTCTGGGAGCTGCTGTAATTAGATACTAGAGTCAGAGTCTCCCCATCGTTTATTTTGACTGAGCCGGGTTGAGGATAACAAGTGGACATTCCTCATAACAATCGATGTTGTTGACACTCCAAAAAACCCATCACCATCCCTTATAAAAGGATAGGGGTAAAGCGAAAGGAAGACATTTTTGAAGTATCAATAACAACACTTCAAAATTAATTTCCTTTATGCGTTTTTGCAAGAATTATGGATTAGGGTAATCACATGTGAAGCGATTTTCACACTCTAATTTTCTCCTTCTACATATTCTTTCAACTGTCTCCATCACTACTCACAAAAGGGACGGACTGAGGAGGAGAAAAGGGAGGGCATAAGGTAAATGATATCGCACTCTCCTTTTTTCTCCATCTCTCTCCTAATTTTATAAGGAAGTATGCGGAAATCATTTCCGTATTGAAAGTGCGCATTTCTGAACATACTATGTACTTTCCAGGCGAAATTTTCATATGGTTAATATGGAAATGAACAAATATAATTCAGTCATAAAAATGAAAGGCTGAAGAAGCGTACCAGAAAAAAAAAAGAGTTGTCTGAGATGAGAAGTTGGAGACTTCCAACCTGTTTGAAACAATCAAACATATGTATCACGGCTTATGCGTGTATGGGTGAGCGTGCACCGCCCCGTCACACTTTTTTTTTTCTTTTTTGCTCAATATAACCATGCTAATTACATCTATTTATTTTAGTTTTATAAGATATCAATATTCATTTTTAAAATATATTAATAATTACCTGGGTACATTATTTTTTTGCTAGAAGTATGTGAAGAACAATATTAGGGTTTAGGTAATTATTATATTGTAAAAATATTATTGATGCTTGTTTAAATTTCATAATTTGTGGGAATGGTATGTATATAGTGTATTATGTGTAGATGGTGCATATTTATATCTTTGATACTCTTCACACGTAGTTTACTATTTTTTTTTCCTTTGATTCAGAGGCAAGCCCTACAAATACAAAAAAAAGCGGACGAGTTTGTGAAACAATTTCCTTTGATTCAGTTGGGTTCTTTCATGCCCATTCAAACTGCAATTTTTTCAAATCCTTGAAATATTTGGACCCAATTAAATTTGATACCATATTCAAATTAATGAATTTTCGATTCTTCATATAAAGTTTAGGGTCATTTATCTAATTGTGTCATTTTTCGAAGAGAGAGCTGTGAGCTATGAGTTTTTAGGTTGAGCTTAGATCTGTGCGCATAACTTGTGCATGTCGTGTACATACAGTGTATGAGCGAGCTTAATACGAAGAAAGCGAACGAGCACGCGAAACAATTTTGTCCATATCCTTCTTTCTTCCTTCTTTCCACTCTGATTTCCCTCTTTTCCACCAAATTTATCTCTTCTCCAAAAGGCAACTGACCTTTAATACGTTTTTTCATTTAATTGCGGCAAAAGCTAAACCTAATTTTAGTGCTTGTAAATTTGGATTGAGAGAGGGAGCTAAGGGAGGGAGTAGACAGAATAAATGAAAACCTACATATAAATCAGAGAAATGATAAGAAAATCAAAAATCAAAATTGAAGGATTTGGGTCTCCTCCAAGAAACACCAAACCAATCACTTCAACTCCAAAAATTCATCAATCAAAAAGCAAAATTAAGCAAACCCAGTTCACAAAACCTATGAATGAAAAGGTAAAAATCGAAGAAGATGGGTGGGTGAGAAAGAGAGCTCTTGTGCATACTCGAAATATAGAGAGAGGAGAAAGAGAGCTTGGATGAAGAAGTTGAGTGGATTAGAGAGAGCTCTTGGATGAAGATAGGTGGGTTAGGGTTCTTTGAACTAGAATTTGGGGAGAGGGATTTTCTCTCTCCCTCCTCTGTTTCTCTCTCTACAAAATGAGAAATGAGAGCTAAAATTTCTGGATAACCTATTTATATGGGAGGACAATTTAGTCATTTTAAGGTGTGGGAAAAATCTTATTTCTGTCTGATTGTTGTGCATGGCATGTGCATATTTGAAATGTCTTATTTCTATCACAAAATTAAAAAAATATCCTATTTTTAGGTATTTTCCAAAAAGAAATACCCAATCACCTAATCTACAAACAGAATATCATATGATTACAAAAAATATATGAACAGAATTGAAAACGTTTTGCTTCACTACAATATAAAAACCGAGTGAAAACAGGATGAATATGTCGGTAACGACATCAAATTTTTATTCAAACGAGATGGTGCTAAACTGATATCTTGCTTTCAACTTTGCATATAGTGACGATCATATCGTGAACAAGCACCTGAATATTTATGCAAATCTTCAAATTTATTAAGTTGATAGGAGCTTTATAACTTCATCACACGTTCACCAAACAGATGAATATGATCTTACAAATGTTTATTTTATGTGATAATAGTAGCTTATGTTACTCAAAGTGTTTCTGCAACCAAAATGTAGAAGAGACCCATAACTCCGCTATGCATCTGAGTGCTCTCGTAGTTAGAAACTACAGTCAGTGTCTCTCCATCTTTTATCTTGACTGAGCCCGGCCGAGGGTAACAAGTGGTCATTCCAATGACATAACCAGCCTCATTTCCCGCTTTTTTGCCTTTTCCATAAATTGGTGTTGACGAACACAAAACCCTTCCATCCTAAATTAAAACGATTACAATTAATTAGCAAGAACATTAGTTAATCAGTTGGTTAATGACACTACGACAGTGTATAATTACTAATTTGATTAACAACCAATTAAATTACTTGGAGTGGAAGAAAAAAAGCACCTCTCCATGCAGTGTTGAACCAAGCCCCCCAATGTGCTGATGGGCTACACCATAGATGACATAACCACCGGTTGGCATTGTAATCTTTGCCCATTTGTTGTCTAAGCACCCATTAGTGGCATTGCAAGATTTTTCAACATCATATTCGACCTACACAAAAGAAAGATACATAAAGAATCAAAAGATTTATGTTGTCAAACTGTAACGATGAACCACCCATGCGTGTTAGCAACAAATTAGCAATCAAAATAACGAAGTTTTACGTTGTATCGAGACAGACAGTGTTTGATAAGAGAATGTTAATGTCATACAGTACAAAATTAAGTTCATAAATTAATTAATTACCAGGCAATTGTGTTTAGCTCCAGTAGGTGCTGAATGATTCATTCTATCAGTGGCATCAAGGATATAAATCTTGACAGGCACAACAGACTCGGACCAGTCAACCCACTTCACAGTATATCTCAAGTAGTGGTTTTTCTTTTCACCACCAAACCCTTGTTTCAGTCTGCACTTTGCACCATCAGGGCAACATGTCAAACCCCCGGCGTACCCAGCCGGCAGAGGCTGGCCACTTGGATCCCTGGACACGTTATACATATCACACCTGCACTCCGTGCACCCTAGGTCATATTCCACACCTCTAGTATCAATTGCATGCACGTTGAGCATCCATCTCTCCTCAAACCCTTCAGGAACCCCTTTACCATCCCCAACTTCGATTCCATAATGACCTGGAACGTGTGTGGCTGTTTTTCGTGTTTCGGATCCGAGTCCAAAATATTGTCCAAGAGCACCATTCTGGCACATCCCACTGTTCCTCAGCCATATAACATCCGATTCCGAGAGCTGCTGGGGAAGCTGCTGATCTGGCTCCACGTAACCTTTCCGAGCATAATATCTTTCAACAAGCCAGTGATGGACGTAGACTTCATGAAGAGGACTGGAATTCCCTTCTTCATCAATTATTTCAGCATTGAAACTCTTTAGGGCAATGTGACCTTTTGGGAAGTGAACGTTGTAAAAGTATTTGCTGGAACTTAATCCTGGTTCCAACACAAACTTAGGGGAGAGGTAGACGCCAGTCTTGGTCTTAAATTTCTTGTGTTTCAGATGTGCATGTGAACATGGAGTGCTTAATGCCAATACTAGCACGGCTAACAAAAATACCCAACCTTGAAAACAACGTGCCATTTTCCTGCTAATAATGAAATGGTAATCTCTTAGAAAAATACTCGCGCAAAATGCTCATGAAATCTCTTATGGATAATACTTTTAAGAGAAAAGTCTTCCTTCACTAATGTGATATCATTTCATTGTATAACTGTAGAAACGAAACCGTTTATTGTTTTTATTAGAATTTAAGACCATCTGTAAAAAATTCTTCAATTTGGATACCATTGTCATCCATATATGTTGAAAAAAAATTGATGGTTATAATAACAAAGTAGCATTCTTGAGGTAAACTGTCAATTTCTTTGATTCATATAGATAACCAAAGAAACTCTAACTCAAATAAATTTTTTCTAGAAATATCTTTAAACAATGATATATGACTCAAATTATGACATTTGTATGTAAAATAATACCCCGTTAGCGAGATTTGAGAACTTCTCACTTAATTAAGAATGAAGAAAGTATTATTCATCTCTTATTTTTTTATGTCAATCAATCAATAAATATATAAACTATCAGAAATTACAAAATAATATTCAAGCGTAAGATAATAAAATAACATGATATGACGACATAAATGTTCACGTTCATCACAAATTCGAAACGCGCAAGAAACAAAAAAGTTAGCTAAAAAGCAAGTTTGAAGGGCTTTCTGTAATGGGGGAAAAGATTTTCAAATAGTTACAGGGACTATAAACACACAAAACTGATCTCGTCATTTACATGGGTGCATTTTTCCTCACTACCCTCAAGTTTGAGATGGTAATGCTCATTACCCTACTTAATTATTACTATTGAATGAATTTAAATTTTGATATTTGTGTTTATCCACTACACAGATCTCAAAATTTAAACTCATCCAACAATTATAAAGTGGTGAGGAAAATTATTCCCTCATTTACATACGTTCTAGTATAGGCGGGTTTCAGATATAATTACAGACCTTACTTCTATTAGGTCAGTTTTTGTTTGTCTGGAGTAACATTGTGGATATAAGAAAAGACATAAGAAAAACCCTTCAAAATATAAAAAACCAAGACAATGTAATTGCTATAAACTGTTTTCCACCTTGATTGAATCTACAAACCCCATAAAAATTGAAAGAATAATGAAAATAAAAAGGTTAAAAGTAGAGAGAGTACTCCGAAATGGATGTCTGCTGGAAGAGGAAGCTCTCAACCACCGAAAGAGTATGAGGTGAAGATGAGCACCGTGTAAGATATGAATCCATTACCTATCCATCCTATCCTATATATATACTTATTTGTAAGTGTGTCAAACACAAATGAAGAAAATAAAACGTGAGAAATTGCCTGGAATCTGGAATTGTACATGTTTTATCACTGTGTACGGTTTACTTGTCCTTGGTCATCCCACGAGGAATAGAACTTACGGGCAATCTTAGACTATTCCATGGAAGCTTATCGCCGCTGCCACTTCAGGAAAGACAGATGGGTTAATTTCTTCCTGCACAAGCCAAATAATGGTATAAGCGTTAGATTAGCAGTCAGCCCTCAGCCATGACGATGCTAATTAAGGGAACTAAGAAAATATGACTGCATTTAGTTTCATCTTAGGTTTATTCAATTTGGATCAAACATTCAAACCTATCGGAGTAAAAAGATTGCAAGTGATACTCGAAGCCGCTATAATGAGGGGTGAATGATTGCCGGAGTTACGTACGGAGGGATCGACTGCGTATTATTCAATATTCGATTGATTACGATGGTTTGGTGAACAAGAAAGATTTGTCAAAGTCAATTTTTTCTTTTTGTCCAAGTTTTTCCATTTTGCTAGTAAGATTTTGAAGTCAAAAAGAGCTGCTGTTAAAGATTCAAACAATATATGTATATAGCAGATTTCAACAATAGTTGCTATCTGTCAACAACATGGAGATACCTGAGTATTTAGGGATCCTGTGCAAAACTTAAATGGAGGCCCTTCATTCTTTTTAATGTAATATTTTTTTAGTATTTTTTTTTTTTTCAATTTTGTTCATCTATAAAACTAAAATATTACAATTTACTATAACAAAAATAAGTTGTTTGATCGCCGAGGTGTTTTTCCTTACCTTCAAAGGTCCTGAGTTCGATACGCGTTGGATGTGTTTTTGTTATCTCCTTAAAATAGCAAAACAATGTTCTTGTTATCTCCTTTTTAAGTTTACAAATTTCAAAAACTTAAAATAGCAAAACAATATCACAGGGATTCAAACCCAGCACAACGGATATAAGGAAAAAAAGGCTAAACCGCTAGCACTAGAACCACATATGACATTGTCTTTTGCATCTACTCTATTTTATATGCATATGTATACATGTAATGAAAATTTGGGAGCCCTTCTGAACCGGGGGCCCTGTGCGGTGGCACCTGTTGCACACCCTCTGGGCGGGCTTTGATATATATATATATATATATATATATTGTCAACATTAGTTGCTACTCACAGTAAATGTTGCTAAGTGAATATTAGCAGCTGTTATTAAATGGTCTTTAGATATTAGTTCTCTAAAGGGATATAAAAAACTCCTTACGGAAGACAATCAATATACAGAAAATTGACCCAAACACATTATTTCTGAGGATTCATAAGTACGAAATCTACATCTATGAATTGATCATGTAATTGGTTCTTAGAATTAATAGGTCTTCAAATTGTTCATAGCGCTAGCTAGCTGCGGTTATCTTTTGAGTTTTGATTACAAAACTAGTCAATTACCACATGTTTATAATTTCTTGGCGCGGCGCGTTGTTTGTGGGAAAATGTTAGAAAAGTCGATCTAATCTAGAAGGGATTGTAGGCATGATAGTTTAAAATTTTGAAGAGGTCTGTTTCAGTTTAGGGTTGTTTGGTAATTATTTGGTTTTCAATTGAAAACTCGTTTGGTAACACCTTCAGTTTGAAAACTGAAAATCAAAAACCAAAAAATGAAAGTTAGTTTTTTGAGTTTTTAAAATTTGACTTTCAATGTTTAAGTTTTGGTTTATACTGAAAATAGCTACCAAACGATTTTCAGTTTTCGAGAAAATGAAAAAAAATTCAGAATTAAAAACTAGAAGCAAAAATGTTTTCAAACAGCCTCTTAGTCGCTCATATGGAGTTTGGAAATGGGATCAATCGGAAGCGATGACAACTCATGGATATAAAAGTTGGGAAATTATTGTGCTAGTAAGCTTGACTATGATTTTGCAAATGCAATGTCGAATGGAGGAGGCGATGGAGGAAGGGATGGTGGGATGGGTGACAAAGAACAGTGACAGAGTCAGAATTTTATGTGACAGAGGGTCTTTCATAAACGTATGGATTTTTTTTTTTTTTGAACTTATAACATGAGTAATTGAAGTAATTTTCATAAAACTGAAAGACCCATTAAATTCAATAGAGAGAATCAAAAGAATTGCACAATACAACTCAATAGGAGGCAGAGAGAGGAGGGTAACTATAGAAGAGGGCAAAAAGGAAGTCTACGAATAATATATGATTAGGTTGCTTTAGAAATAATATTAAAAATTGTTTTAAAACCCTCATCTGCAAACTCACCGTTTCATTAAACTATAAATACAAAACAACAAAACTATTAGAATCTGAAGACGACAATGTGGTTGGAGTCAACTTTTTCATGTGGACAATCCATCTTCTTTCTCATGTTACGCAACACTGTAGGCTTTGGGCCACAAGTAAATTTCTTACATTGTAATCAGGATGGGCCCGTGGCCCCTCCCTTGACAAAAAAGAGGATTTTGAATCTCAAAATGCTACTTCCATAAAACAACTCAACCGCTAAAACTAACAACATATTGAGCAAGTAGTGATGACATATGATAATACTGTCGAGATATCCAACACTGACGAGATATTAACCGAATACTGATGACATACTGATTGAATAATAACAACGTATCAACTGAATACACTTTTTAATTGTAAATTTTTGTACAAAGTAATTATAAACCAATTTCATAATTAAATCGGACGTCTCTTAAGCACCCCACATTATCTCCCCTTTTTAATTTACCATTGTATAACCGTCATAATCGAAACTGACATTCTCTTTATCATCATCTAAAAATTATTTTTAGAAAATTTCATTCTAAGCTGCTCAGTCATCCATATGAATAAACAAACATATTAATCATTTATCATGAGGATGCTAGATGTTATTAGAACCGTCAATTTATTCGCCACATTTGAATGATTAAATGATTTTTAAGTTAGATGAATTTATCTAAACATACCTTTAAATTATTATTATTATTTTTTTTTTTTTTTACTAACCGTAAAATAATGTTACGTTAAAGGAAAAAGAAACGAAGGAAGTATTGTATTGTATTGTATTGTATTAAAATCAAGTCAGCCCAACGCAACCCAATCCGGCTGCAAGCCTTTGGGTCGGGCCACCACAGCGCAAGTTCTGGAAGTCCATTGCATGGGAAGCAATGGTTAGGAGGAGAGAAAAGATCCGAAATTATGGCAGGAGTTTTGACGATGAAACATCGGGCCACGCACTTGACCAAAACCAACAACGTGGCAAATGACGGAGCCCTGTCGCTCCTAGAGCCGCGGCGGCTGTGATAAAACTGTTCCAACGACGCTAAACTAACCAAAACAAACGCTCTCTCACTCTCTATCTCTCTCCATCTCTCTCTATCTCTCTCTCTCTCTCAAGACGCAGAGCGCAGAGCAGACATGGAAAAATCTGAAAGAGCCAAAGAAAGAAAAGAAAAGAGACTCCAAGAAATCTCCCTCCTCAGAACCATTCCTTATTCCGATCACCAGAGGTTGGTTTGCTCTTACTTTGCTCGTTCAATTTTCCTCACATTTCCATTTCTGATAGAGTAAAAAATGATGACTCTAGCTGTTGTTATCTTTGTTATATTTGCAATTTTTTTGTGTTCGTAATTGAAAACAGAACTGAACAAAAAACCCAGTTGTGATTTGTCATTTGTGCATTGGATGTTATGATTTTTGCAAGTTTTGCAATTTCTTCATGTTTGTGAATCGAACACACACAAAAAAAAAAAAAAAAAAAAAAGACACATTTGTGATTTTGTGCATGGTGGAATGCATGATCTTAATTTAGTCTCTAGCTGTTGTGATCTTTGTTAGTTTTGCAATTTCTTCATGTTCATGAATTCAGAACAACAAAACGATCAACCCAATTGTGATTTGTGTATTTGGGCATACATGTGTGTGACTGTGTAGGTGGTGGTCAGCGGAGACCGTTGCGGTGGTGACTGGGGGTAACAGGGGGATTGGGTTTGAGATTTCGAAGCAGCTTGCGGCACAAGGGGTGACTGTTGTACTCACATCCAGAGACCACAGTGTGGGGCTTGAAGCGGCTAAGGTCTTCCAAGAAGGTGGTTTCAATGTGTTTTGTCATCAGCTCGATGTGTTAGACACGGCGTCCATCACCGAGTTTTGTGACTGGTTGAAACAAAACTATGGTGGGTTGGATATTCTGGTGAGTTGATCAGATTTTGGGCTTTGAAGATAAACTGTTTCATTCCATTCCCAGCTGTACTTTGCCATTTTCCATACGGGTTCTAATTTTATGCAATTATTTTTCTCCCCCTTCAATCTTGCAGATAAATAATGCAGCTGTTAATTTCAATCAGGGTTTTGATAATACTGTTGAGTATGCATCTCAGGTTATTACTACAAATTATTATGGCACCAAAAATATGATTCAAGCAATGATCCCCTTGATGAAACCTTCAGTTGCTGGAGCTCGTATTGTTAATGTGAGCTCAAGATTGGGTAGAATAAATGGCAAGCGGAGTGTAAGTAACTTGGTTTCTTACATCTTTTCTTTTGTATTCATAAAAAATTCATCCTTTTTATGTATGTCAATGTTGCGGGTAGGGAAATTGGAGGATGTTGTGCTCAGGGATGGGCTAGATCGCTACTTTTCGTGGGGCAGTGAGATCTTTGGTTGCATGCTTGAAAAGAAATAAGTAGTGTTTTCTAAAAGGTCAAAACTTGATGGATTTCAAAATAACCGATTTAGGTTATAGAAGTTAAGAAGAGGGTTTGTGCTCATCTGGGTGCTAGCAGAGTGTTACCCTTTTGACCAGAAGTTTGAGAACCTGCCTTTATGTTTGTCCCAATGGCATCAAATTCCTAGGAGGCCTTATAGTTCGCCCAGGTTATGCTGCTGGATTGAGGAACACTGTTGAGAAACCATGGGTGGATGATATGAGGTGGATTTGGTGTCGGAACAGGTCAGGAAAGTAAGTGTCTAGCTGCTAGATGAAGCGTCTCTGAGAGGCTTGCTAGATTTCCAGCTGCCGTCGGGTTTTCTAATCAACTCTGATTTCTCTCTAAGGGATATCAGTAGCGTGATGTGAATCTCCATTGTGATATCATTTGATGCTACATATTTATTGAAAAATTATCAGAAGTTTAATGAAACTTGTTCATCTTTCCCCGACCATATGCACTTGCACAGCTTTGTTTTATATCTATCTAATCATTTTTTTTTTTTCTTGACAGAAAATTGAAGATGTGTGTTTGAGAGAGAAATTTAGCAATTTGGACACAATCACTGAGGAACTGATTGATCAAACAGTTTCCAGTTTTCTACAACAAGTACAAGATGGCACTTGGGAATCCGGTGGGTGGCCTAAAACGTTCACTGACTACTCGGTATCAAAACTTGCAGTCAACACTTACACCAGGCTGATGGCAAAGATGCTATCAGACAGACCAGAAGGCCAGAAAATTTATATCAACTGTTACTGCCCAGGTTGGGTGAAGACTGCTATGACAGGTTATGCTGGGAATATTTCAGTTGAAGCAGGGGCTGACACTGCAGTTTGGCTTGCCTTGCTTCCAGACCTGGCAGTAACGGGGAAGTTTTTCGCTGAAAGACGTGAGATAAGCTTCTAAGGTAGTCTGTCTAAAGACTAACAAAGTTTGTGCAACAGTTCAATTGCTTCATTACGGACTTCACATCCGTTACAGCCCTTATACAAGTGAAGATTCTAATGTAATCGACATCTTCCGAACTGCAATATGCCGTGAGTGAATACCTTATGAATTATGTTGAAGAAGAGAGCCAGCAACTTACTGTAGAGTGTAGACGGATAGGTTGGATGCTAGAACGTATTTGATGTCAACAAAGGTTATGCGACGTGCTTCTGTGTCATCGGAAAGATGGGATTTTTAAAAGCACCATTTTGTTCCCAATCGTGTTTAGTTATTGGGGTTAGGGATTAAGTTGGGAAGTATTCACTTAGTGATTGTTATGCCACTGTTTATTTTGTTTGGGTTTTACCTATCAATGCAAGTGATTTTTCTATGTGCATTTGAAGAATTTTTTGGTATCATGTTGGGAAATAATTTTGATACTCTACTAGTAAATGTCTAAATCCTGCTCTACTATTTTTCTTACTTCAATTATATTCTACTAGTAAATGCCTAAATCCTTGCTTCCAAGAGAATTTAATTTTGATGGGGCATGAGTGAAGCTTACCACAATATTGAACTTTGTGGGTATATCTTTTTTTTATATAAGCGATATTGAAGAAGTAAAAATTGAATAACTAGTTGAGTTAGAAGTCTCTTATCAATGAGGTATTATTTATAAGTGTGCTATATCTATCTCTCTCTCTCTCTCTATATATATATATATATATAACTTATTTTTAAAATCTATCTGCATCACTAATTTTAATACATTTTCAATATGAATATAACACCTATGTTTAGTTTAATTGTTTTCATTCATGTTATAATTGATCATACATGGATATTCCGCTTCAATCAACCTCAATTTTTTGTCATTCATTATCTCGAATTACTTCAATATTTATATGTATTTTACTTCCGCACTCTGAATTCTATGGAAGGCTTTGCCTCCTACAATATGGAAGGCTATGCCTCCTACCACTAGTTCCACCCCATTTGGTATCAGAACCAAGTGGTTGGCAATTGCATTAGCATTTATTTGATCTATTTCTGATTCATACATTCTTATATTCTATTTGTATTTCTTAATCGTCGGTCCTCAGTTCTTCTTTTTTCCAGCCAAACAGTAAGACGTGGTCTAAACATTAAGTCCCAGGAGAGGCATGAGCGGGGGAAGAGTCTAGACATACGAGGAAGGTGAATCTTTTAAGTCTTGCATATAGCATATTTGTTTTGTGTGCATCATGAGTAGATTATTTAGATCTAGTTCAATGGCCAGCACTAGCTCTAGATCCAACTTAGGAACTATATCTGACATTGTCAATGAAAAACAAAAACTTGATTTTCAAACAGATGAAAGTATTGATTTTTCTGAATGGAATATTCCAAAGGTTTCAACCCAAAATATTTACAAGAAAAAATGGTTTTTGACCTCTTTTAAATCAAAACATCACGTCAAAACAGTTGAGAATGCTTATGCTTTTAGCAAAGAACATGAGACTTGTCAATTATTTTCTCCAGAACAAATCAAAGCGCATCGCAAAAATGGTCATAACTATCTTCATATTGGTTTAGTTCAAATTGCAGTTAAGCCATTAACCCGAAAAGGTCTTAACACTTCTATCCTTTTATGTCTACGCGACGCTAGATTTACTGATTTCAACGATAGTATACTAGGAATGATCGAATCCAGTCTTTACAACGAACCTATCCATTTTGATTGTTTTCACGATCTCACAATAAGTCTTTCCGATCCACATGTTTTAAAAGCTCTTACTCTTAATATCAAAACCTCTAGGTATCACGTCCTGGAAGGAACACAACATTTAGTACTTATTTTCAGAATTTATTACAAAGCCACTGGCACAAACATGAATTTCCAAGCTTTAAACAAAAGCCTTCGCGACCATACCCTTTTGATCCAAACAACCCAAGAAAATGCAAACATAAGAGTACCAAGAACCATTAGGTGGTCAGACATCAGTCTCCCTTCAGACTGGTGTTTAATCAACGAAAGTAAGCCGGTTTCTGTCCAAAATAGTCTAGTTAATCTAGACAACATCGAACAATATTTTGTTGGCACTGTAAAAATTAATTTTGATCGACCATCAAGGCAATCTCATGAATCAGTACATTCACACAAATCTTTTGCTCCTAGCAGACAGTATTTTTTGGATCCACGTCAACCGATAGACTGGGTTGAGATCAAGATTTGATCAAATCTTTAGTAAATAAAAAATTAAAAGAGCAGGAAACTGCACAACAAGATTTAATTAATTATTTGCTTAAATTAAAGTCTGTTAATACTTCTTCACAAATTGCACATCCTATTTACCATCCTCCAAACCAAGAAGAACCCACTTCTCCATCTGCTTCTAATTTTGAAACAGCATCGGTGAATCACCAATTACTTATTTTAAACAAACCAAATAAAATCCGATGAAGGAAGCTTAAAGCTGACATCGCTTCTGAGGAAAATATTCCCAGAAGAAATATTTTTAGAAAAAAGTATTGTGATGAAGAAAAGCTAGCCATATATGCCGAATGGAAAGCTTTTGTAGAATAATACCAATTTGAAATATCTTTCTTTGATTTTATTGAAAAATATTATGAAACAAAAAATAAAGTTACGGTTGTTACCAAAGAAAATTGGGTTAAGAAAGACAAAACTCTGATTTCTTCTAGTCATCCTCCCAAAGAAACTATTTTGATTTCCACTGGAAATACCAACATTCCCGCAACTCCTTTTAAAATTCCAAAATAAGATTCTGGTTTTAAACCTGTCATTGAACAGAATAATTTTACAAACCAAAGTCTTCACACTATTGGAAAACAGTTAGACAAAATAGAAACTAAAATCGACAAATTGTCTCTTCCAAAAACTTCTCAGAAAGAAAAACCATTAGTCCATTTTACTGATACTTCTTCAAGCTCTAATGCTTTAAAGTCTATGACTACTTTACAAAAAATTGATCATATGCTTACTGAGCTTAAAAAAGAAAAAGTTGTCAATGTTTTGCAAAATAATGATGTTTCTGTTGAAGGAGAAAATACTTCTGATCCAGATTCTTCTCAAGAAACAGAAACTAGTTCTGCTATTCAAAAAATTGAAAATGTTTTTCAAAAAATTAATATTCAACCAACTTTTGATTTGAAACGTATTCGTACTCATCCTGTAAATCCCACATCTTTTACAAAAAACTGGTATCCCAAACCAACACCTCCTGATCTTCAATTTGAAGAAAGAAATATTCAAAATCAATTTTCAATCTCTGCTGACAAACTCTATGAATGGAATATAGATGGATTGTCAGAACAAGAACTTTTGAACAAACTTCAACACATGTCCATGGTTGCCAATAGCTACATTTCCAATCACAATTTTACACAAACACAAATCGTTGACCTATTAGTCACTGGTTTCACCGGAATGCTTCATTCTTGGTGGGAGAAGCACTTAACTTCTCAATCCAGAGATGAAATACGCTTTGCAATAAAAAAAGATGAGGAAGGACTTCCCATCTTTGATGAAACGATAGGACAGGGAATACCCGACGGAATAAATACTTTACTTTAAACGATTATAGAACACTTTATAGGAATACCTAGCAACGTTACTACGCGTATTCACGACCAAATGAGTAATTTAAGGTGTCCAACCTTAAGTGATTTCAGATGGTATAAAGATGATTTTATATCCAGAGTTATGCTTCGAGAAGATAGTAATCAACCTTTTTGGAAATAAAAATTTATCAATGGTTTACCAAACATTTTTGCTTACAAAATTCGGAATGTTTTAGTAAACGAAGAAGGTGTCATACCTTATCATACCCTTACTTATGGTAACATATTCAATGTTATATAAAAGGAAGTATTGAAAATGTGTATCGACATGAAGATTTCAAAACAAGTTAATAAAGATAAATCTATTGCTAAATATGAACTTGGAACGTTTTGTGAACAATATGGTTTACCTCCAATAGCTCCTTCAAGTAAAAAGAAAAAAGCCCAACAAACAAGCAGGTTTGCTAAACATCAATCCAGATTTTATAAAAACAAAAGATCTTCCAACAAACCTTTCCAAACAAATAAATTTTATGAAAAACCATCTTCAAACAAAAAACCTTTTCGAAAATCTAAAAAGGATTTTCAGAATAAAAAGGGAAATGTTACAAATGTGGCAAATTTGGTCATTTTGCAAATGAATGTAAAGTTAAGAAGGTTATTAACCAGCTAAAAATCTCTGACAAAGAGAAAGTTCAACTTATCCAGGCCTTAGAAATTAGGAACATCGACTCTAGTCAATCTGATAAAACTTTGGATTTTTCCGCCTCAGATTCTAATAGTTCTAGCGACGTTTCTTCGCCAAACATTAAGTTTGGATGCATAGACACTTGTTGTAATAAAATTTCAGTACTTAATAAACAAGAAGAGTTTTTAATAGAATTAATTAGCAAAATCGATGACCCTGATTTGAAATCTTTTTATTTGAAAAAACTCAAAAATTTAATTTCTCTTCATGAACCTGGCATTAGCCAAACTTCTTCTCAAAAGATTTCTCTCAGTACCACTATAGAACGTTTTAATAAACCCAAAAAGCAAATCACCATCAAAGATTTGCAAAAAGAAGTTAATCAAATTAAATCGGAAATTAAGTTTTTAAAATCCGAAAATATCGAAATTCGCTCACAACTCAGTCGAGTTCACACCCAAACACTTGAACAAGACAGTTCTTCTTCACATTCTGATTCTGACGCACAGTCAAACAAGTCTTCTTCTTCAAAAAATCTTGTTTTAAGTCTTTTAGACAGAATTCGTAAATGGTATTCAAAAATTAAGATAATAATCGAAGATTTTTCTTTCGAAACCATCGCTTTAATTGATTCAAGCGCAGATTTAAATTGCATTCAAGAAGGATTAATACCTACAAAGTATTATCATAAGTCAACTGAGATACTTAGCGCTGCAAACCAATCCCCAATGAAATTGAAATATGAGATCCCCAAAGCCCATTTTTGTCAACAAAATGTTTGTTTTAAAACTACATTCGTTTTAATTAAAAATATTTATGATCCAGTTATTTTAGGACTCTCTTTCATTGCATTAAGTTATCCTTTTAAAGTTCATCACAACTATATTTCGACAGAGGTTTTTGGCCAAAAAATTACTTTTGAATTTTGCATGGAAACCGATCTTAAAAAGTTAAAACAACTTCAAAAAGATAATGTTTCAAAAACCCTCAACCAGATTACTGCAAAATCTCAACAAATTGAATTTTTGCAAGATGAAATTAAACACAAACGAGTTGAAGAACAGCTCGCAAAAAAATCATTGGTCGAGTCTATTAGCCAATTTTCTGACAAACTTACTAAAGAAATTT